ATGTCAAAAAGGACTACAGTGTTATACAAACATCAGTTAGCTGGAACCCTCTAAAACCTTGTCAGCCAGGAAATTGTAAATACTAAAATGCAATATATCTCTAAAAGTTTAACTTCAAAATTATAAAAATTTCTTTGTCCATGCCTAATGCTTGCCTCCTACTATAAAAAGGGGCTCATGACCCATCCCCAGTGCCACAGCTCAGAAACCGAGATTCTGGCTCTGGTCCTAGTTAAATGGTATTCTCTCTTTTCTCAACAGTAATTTTTAAAAATAAAGTTTGCTTCCGGTTTTAGACTTTGGTGGTCTGCGCCTCATTTTTTTGTGCACCCTTGGACTTAACAACACAAAAGTCTGCCAGGAAACAAATGGACTTTGATAACTAATTAGGAAGCAGAATTACCAAGAACATTTTTCTCCCCAGTCTCCAGATATGCAGTTCTACTTAAGGAGGACGAGTTCAAACACATAGTTGAAGAATCCTTTGTGCTTCTATTAAATTCTCCAGAAGGCACACCCAAGGGGTTTGTTATTGCTAAGGACACTGTTGTGTCTGTGTATAGGTAGAATTTCCCAAGGAAGAATTGATATCAATGAAAAAGATACTAGTTGCTGTTTTATTTTGTTTTCAAAGTCTCAAACAAATATGGCACTCTTCGTAGGTGTTTCTTTTACCTCCATTTTATTCTAGCTATTTTTGAATACTGACAATATTAACTAAAAATATAAAACGGGGAAAAAGTAATTGTGATGTTCAATTGCTATTTTAACAAATTTTAGCCACCAAACATAAAAGAGAGAAGACATTTTCCTTTGACATTTTTTGGAATTTTTTTTTTCTAGTCAAGAGGTAGACTAGGGTCAACAGATATTATAATACATAAAGCCAGCAGTTAGACTAAATGAAAAGCTTGAAAAAATGAGAATCATGAGTGCTTTCTAAAACATTCAATTTTGGGCTGGAGAGATGGCTCAGCTATTAAAGGCTACGCTCACAACCAAAAAAGACTCCATTTTACTTTCTCTACAAACTAGGCCAAGGGCTGGAGAGATGGCCAGTAGTTCTTCCAGAGGCTGGAGTGGTGGTGGTGGTGGGTGTTCTGAGTGTCCAAATGGCTTAGAGTAGTCTGTTGAGTCCAGTCCAGGGGGATCCGACACCTTTTTTGGCCTCCCTGGGCACTGCACACATAGTACATGAAGGAGACCACCCCCTTTCGCACAGCAGAGGTTCTTTCCAGGACCCCGGATTAGGCACAAACCACACCCAAGCACCTGTTTTCACAGAGAGATTCTTTACTAAAGGGGGAGGAAAGTTAAAGTGGCTGCTTTCTGACTCAGGAAGAAAAACAGCAGCAGGTGTGATTTTTAAGAGGAGAAAAAGGGAGGGGGCAGTCTGTGTTAGAATGGGCTAGGATTGGGCATGTTAATTAGGTGAATCAAAGGGGGATTTTGATTTCTAGACTTTGATACTCTGATAGCTGGACCTTGATAGTCAGCCTCAGAAGGAGTAAGTGGCCAAATGAAGGAATAGACCTTGGTGTCTAACTTTAGGAATGTAACTTCTTTAGCGAGGCAAAGGGAATTGGGTAGAAGGGCAAGGCCTGCCAGAGCCACATGCTCAAGTGGACTAGTGTCCCTTCAGTACACAGACATACATGCAGCCAAAACACCCATACACAATACATAAATACATTTTAAAAAACAAAACAAAATGTCAGCCAAGGAGAGGATAGATGGGTGAATGGAAGCACAATTTAATCTTTCCAGAAGAATGTTTCCAGGGCTGGAGAGTGGTAAACCAGCAGCTGTACGAGCCTGACAACCATGTGAAAAGCCAGACATAGCACAGCTGTCTAATCTCAGTATGCCTACAGGTGATGGAAGGCTAAAGGCATTGGACTGGCTAACCTGGTGTTATCAGAAGTGTTGAGACCTTATCTCACACAAAATGAAAGGCAAGGACCAACATCTGAGATTGTCCTCTGAATCCCCTATCCCCCTCCTCCAGCTTTCAAATTTCTCTTATGCACTCAGGAGGGCTAGGAGGATCATGTGTTTGAGAGAAGCCTAAGCTACATAGGAAGAGCCTATCTGCAGCAACAAAGGAAAGAAAGAAGGAAAAGCCAGAAGGAAAGAAAGAAATTTATTATGAAAAGATATAATTTCCTAAATACCCTGTTCATTTTATTTATTCCGTGTGTGTGTGTGTGTGTGTGTGTGTGTGTGTGTGTGTGAGAGAGAGAGAGAGAGAGAGAGAGAGAGAGAGAGAGAGAGAGATTCTCTGTATAGCCGTATAGCCCTGGCTGTCCTGGAGCTCACTTTGTAGACCAGGCTGGCCTTGAACTCACGGAGATCTGCCTGCCTCTGCCTCCTGAGTGTTGGGATTACAGGTTTGTGCCACCAACTTCTGCTGGCCCAAACTTCTGTTCTTAATAAGACCTTATTATTATTTCAGGGCTTTAAGGAGAAATTTGAAAATCGTCAACCATGTAGTTAAAATGGGTTGATTGATATCATTTGGGAAGTATCCATACAGACACATTTCTACTTTGCCTATAAACTGGGTGCTGATTCCCGCCCAGCATCCTCACAGAGTGGTATAAATCAAGTAAAATTCTGAAGGTAGCAGGAAAAGGTTTTCATGGTTGGTATTTGAAAATTTCCTGAAAAATACTGAGGGAGGGGCAGGGGGCACTGGAGAAACGGCTCAGCAGTTAAGAGCACTGTCTACTCTTCCAGAAGACCCAGGTTCAGTTCCCAGCATGTACATGGAGGCTCATAACCATCTGCAACTCCTTTCTGCAGAATCCAGTGTCCTCTGGCTTCTGTGGTTGTGGGGCATGCATGTGGTGTATATACACACAGACAACACACCCATACATAGTAAAGATAAATAAACATGAACACACTTTGGTACTTTCCTCAGTTTGGTATAGGCAGTGGAGTTCCTGTGTAGGCCTTTGAGTGCTTTTAAGGAACTATGGAATGGTCACCGTAGAATTAGAGATAGGTCACCCTGACGGGAGGCAGGAGGGGGAGGCATTACTTGTGTAGCCCATAAGCAGAACATTGTAAGAGTAAAAAAACAAAACAACAGCACCAACAATGACAAAAAATTCGTGGGTCTGAAGCTTTTTTTGTTAGCTACAAATCAAAATACCTTGGGCAACTTACTAGATTTCCTGCAGCTTTATTTTCTCATCTTTTAAACAACTACAGGAGGCTGGGGACATAGCTTGGTGGCACAGTGTTTGTCTAACGTGCCCAAGGCCCTAGCTTCAAGCCCAGAATCGCCCCAAACTGTAAGATAATGATGCCTTTCTGTGGTTCATCAGTCTCTCAAAGAAGAAAATTTGGCAGCTGAAATTGTGTATTTCTTCACTGTGTTAGGCCTTTGAGATTAGACTTTCTGGTTTATTCACCGGTTGTAAGATTACCTTGTGCCTAACAGTACTCAATAGATACATTAGTGAACAATTGGAGTTGCTTAATGTCAAGAATTACCAGGGCCTAAGATCACAGCCAAAAAAAATAAATAATAAATAATAAGGCTGAGGCAAGATGCTCAGGAATTGGAGGCCAGCCCAGGCTAAAAAACAAAAACAAAAACAGAGGACTGAGATGTGATTCAGTTGGAACCTTGCTTCCATCCCCAGCACCTCAGAAAATCCTCCAGGTGGCACACACCCACACCCACACCCATAATTCCGACTTGGGAGGTGGGGCAAGACTACGAAACTTCAAGGTCAGCCACACAGCAAGTTAGAGGCCAGTCTGGACTTAGCATTGTGTCTGAGAGCATTGTGTCTGAGACATGTGGTTATTTAACTAATGCACATATTGTAGTTACTATTTACAAAGCACTGCACAAAGTGCTTTACAACTTATTTAGCCATGAGCAAAACCCCATTTTATCCACGAGCAATTAAATACCTAGTTCCAGTATCACTGAGCTAATAAGGGGGGAAGAGGTAGAATTCAGACAATTCTTCTACACTAAATTATGCTGTCTCAGAAGAAGCTATTGTGAAAGATTCTATTTGGGGTGTAAAGTTGTGGGACGAAAACGTGCCCTGTAGCCTGGGTGAAAGTTTATTGTTTTCTATGCCAGTTTTGTCTCTGTGCACTCTAGAGTAGCACAGCATTTCTGGACTTGGGTAGGGTGCTTTCAAGTGTAATCCGATACCAGCTAACCCTAAAGCCCGGGGTTCTCCCAACTGCACCTTTGTCTCTTCCTCAGCAAGAGCAAGAGCGGATATTTGTAACCAGTGTGAAGGAGAGGCGTGCGGGTGTTCCTGGGTGAGTGGTACCTCGTGCACGGAGCCGCCTGAAGGCCCTCTTACACCGGCCTTCCGGGCCAGCAGCCCGCGCCTCCCCGCGCCCCCTCCCGCCCGGCACCACCATAGCTTGGTGGCGACGCGCCCGAGCCTAGAAGAAAAAGTTTCCAAACCTCGCTTCTCGGCGCTGATTGGCCGAGCTCGACGCGTCCCGGGCGCGACAGCCAATGAGAGGCGCGGGCCGCGAGGTGCCGACCGGGCTGGGATCGCGGTCAAGCCCTGTTGGCTCGCGCCGTGCGGGGATCATCGTCGCCTGGGCGGGGTAAGTGGAGCCAAGTTGCGGGCCGAGGGCCCCCAAGCCCGCAGCATCCAGCGGTCGAGTCCCCCCAGGCCTGGCCCCAGCTTTCAGCCTAACATCTGTGAGCTCCACCTCTCGCCCTGGCCAACTCTGTTCCCCTTCTGCTGGCCGCCTCCCTTCCTCAAGCCCTGCGCTTTTCCTGCCCCTTCATCCCACAGTCCTCGGGTCCCCAACTGCTGCCGCATGGGTACCGGCCTATGTCCAACCTCCTCCACAGCGCCTCTTGGGTCTCGGCTGCCGACGTTTCAAATTTCTCTAGACATCACTTTGGATCAGATAAACTTTATCCGGTAAAGGGTGAGAGTGCTTACCCCACACCTTGAATGTTGGCCCAGCTCACCTACCCCTTTGAGGTCATGGGTAACCCAGCGTCACCTTGGCTCTGGAGCGACTTTGTCTTAACCAAGTCATCTTGGTTTTGTGCCAGGCTGTGCATCCTCCTGCTTTTTAACCTTCCTCGACTTACCTGATAAAGAAGAAGCCTTTTGCCGCGGGGTGGAGGTTTGTTATTTTCTCTGCCACCTGTTTCTGTGTATTGTGTGCTAGGATAACCTCCTAGGATTGGGACGGGTGCTTTTGAAGTACAATCTGACACAAACTACTCTCCAACCCTGAGGTTATCTAACCATTCACCTCTTCACCCAACACACTGGTATTCAACAAGTTTTGAGATTTAAGTAATTCCTTTTACAACGTTCCATATGGAGTTAAATACATGTGGCCAACCGGTTGAAGTAGCAGGGGCAACTTTATATTTTACCTCCACTTGGTTAATAGTTTGCTAACTTGATTTAACCTGTGTGGATATTTTTTTCCCTTCCAAAGTGTGTTCTACCGTAGAACTTGTGAACTTGATGAGATTAAACCCCCTTTTCTTCAGAGGGGGTTTCCTAGTGTGAGCCTCTACAGCCTGCACTGGGTTTGCACCAGTGTTGCGATGGAAATGCTTGATATATAGCCCAACTCTCAGTGGGTGTTAAAGAAATGATTGAAAAGACCTGGAGGGGGGCCCAGACCACAGTGGGAAGATTGCCTGGCACCTTGATCAGTAGAATGAAATGACCTCCGAACAATAGTTACTCTGTTTTTATTCTTATTCAAATATAAGTCCATCCCCCACCCTCACCCCCCAGTAATGAAGAATGAACCCAGGCCTTGTGCATTCTAGGCAGGGCTCTATTTCTGAGCTACATCCTTAGCCCACCAAGTATAAACCTTTAAATTTTCAAATGCAACCATATTTTCGACTCAAAAACACAGTTCTCACCTTAACAGAATAATAGTTCATTCTTGAACCCAGTGTGAATGACAGTGGCCCAAGAGCACAGATTCCAATTTCCTCAAACACCATGTTTCACTGTTGGCTGTGTGAGATCGTACTGGCTACAGAACAAATAGTAGTTAAGGTGTTTACCAAATACAGTGCTAGGGGTTACAGACACAGGTCACAGCAGGGAAAACCCTAGTAGAGTTTAAATTAGTGGAAGCTAGAAGTGTGCTGCGAACATATTTTAGGTTTGATACTTACAAGGTTGTTAGGTCAGATACTGGAATGGGCAATGAATACCTTTCAAAGGTACTAAAAATAGCACAAGATAATTTAGCTCTGATCTGCAACATTTTAACTCTACATTATCTTCAAGTTCAGTTATTTGGTTTGTAGAATCTTTTTTAAAAATATTATGTATTATATCCTGCCTGCGTGTACACCTGCAGGCCAGAAGAGGGTACCAGACCTCATTACGGATGGCTGTGAGCCACCACGTGGTTGCTGGAAATTGAACTCAGGACCTCAGGAAGAACAACCAGTGCTCTTAACCTCTGAGCCATCTCTCCAGCCCGGGTTTTTTAGAATCTTTAACATAGGTGCAGCCAACCTGTCTTCCTTCCTTCCTTCCTTCCTTCCTTCCTTCCTTCCTTCCTTCCTTCCTTCCTTCCTTCCTTCCTTCCTTCCTTTCTCCCTTCCTTCCTTCCTTCCCTTCCTTTCCTTCCTTCCTGAAACTTCAGTTAACAATATGTTTGCTGTAAATTGTATTTTTTTAGTTTCTTTTACCAAAAAGTCCATTGTAAAGAAGTGTGTCAGGTAGAAGTACTTAAGCTCAGTGCCTGTTGTAGCCCCACTCTGGCACTTAACCCTTTCTATCCCTGCTGCAGAGAGGGAGAAAGCAGTTACCGTGATGCTTTTCTACTGTAGTGTATACAGTTCTTATTTAACAGCATTATAGTTTCCAGTTGTCCTCTGCTGGTAGCTCTCCATGTTAGAAAATGGTAAGGACATTCTTTGCATGTTTCTGTACTTAAGCTTGAGGACAGAAGCCAGGCTTACTGCCTCTTGATGTGTTTTACAACAGTGACATCATTTCTGTAAATGCACACCATATTCTCATCATCATATAGGTTATGTGAGAATATTTGCCTCCTTTCTTTTCCCTGCCTCTCCCTTTCTGCTTTTGTTTTTGTTTTGAGACAGGTTTTTTTTTTTTTTCCTGTGTAGCCTTGGCTGTTCTACAGCTTGCTCTGTAGACCAGGCTGGTCTTGAGCTCACAGAGATCTACCTGCCTTTGCCTCCCAAGTGCTGGGATTAAAGATATGATCATTCTCCACTTGCTTTTTTGACAATTTTATACAAGTGTATAATACTCAGCCCTACACTCTCTCTTTGATCCCCACCCTTCAAATTCCCATTCCACTTTCATGGTTTTTTTTTTTTTTTTGGTTTTGTTTTGTGATGCACTGGTTTAACTAGGGCCAATTGAGTCTCCACCTTCTTTTTTGAGACATGGTCTCAGTGAATCTGGAGCTCGCTAATTTGGCTAGACTGGCTGGCCAGCATGCTCTGAGGATCCTCATATTTCTACCACACAAACTTCCAGCACTAGGAGTATAGCCTTGCTTTTTACGTGAGTGTTGAGGGTTGAAACACAGGTCTTCATGCTGTGTGGCAGACACTACCCACTGAGCCATCTCCCCAGCCCACTCCCTGCCCCCCCCCCAACTCTTTGCCAGGTCTCACTGTGTTGCCAGGTTGTGGTTTCAAATCCCTGACTTGGGCTGCAGCTCTCCTTTCTTGGTCTCCCAAATGGCACCACTGCACCAGGAGCCTGGTGTTTTCTAAGGACCCCTGGACTCTGTTCTTCTCCCTTCACCTTTATTCTGACTTTTTTCTATCCATCTTTTTTTTTTTTTTCCTGGATCGCTGCAGAAGATCACCATTTTACACCTTGGCCTTCCTCAGCCAGCCACACCACCAGGATGAACTTTTGAGTTGAAGAGTCTGTCTGTCCCTCTCCTCAGAGTGCTCCAGTGGCTCCTTGTGGCAGCCAAGCATTCTTCCCTTTCTCCTCTTTTTGTCCTTTTTCCCTTCCATCTTTCTCTGTGGTCCAGGTTAGTTTAGGATCTCTCCTTTCTCCTGCCTCAGCTTCTCAAGTGTTGGGATTACAGGTGTCTACCACTACTCACAAATGTGTTTGAAAAGTTGGCTGTGACTTAGTCCCTGGGTTTTAATCTGTGCTGCTCTTTCTTATCCTCTACTGTCAGCCTTCTGGACTTACTCAACTCCCCCACAGCCTGGCTACTTCTCTACTGTCTACGTGTTAATGTCCTCCTTTTCCTCCTCAATCTGCTTTCCTATTCTGGTTTTCTTTGAGATGGGGTCCCAGACTGGCCTTGAACTTGCGACCTTCTTGCCTCAGCTTCCTGAGTGTTGGGATGCCAGGAGTACAATACCCAACACTTTCCCATTTCACATGCTACTCATGGGTCACCTTCCTAGGAAGCCAACCTTGACTTCCAGGTTGAATTTTGGACTCCCTGTGTTCTCAGATACTGCAGGAATGCATATCACAGTGCGCTGGTGGCTTTTCAGGGACACATCCATGTCTAAACTCACCAAAGTATGCACTCCATAGCTAGGCCATTTGTTGTGGGTCAGCATCCTGTACAGAGTTCTGTCCCTGTGCTCACCCAGGGCTTTGCAGTAATTTACATGTAACTTGCATCTCTTTCCCCAACAAGTCCCCTTGAGAGGAGCAGGAATCTAGAAGATACCGTATTTGGATCTGAGGGTCCTATGCTAGGTACTGAATGTGGGGGCATATATATAAGCCCTGGGCTGTAATAGGGGATAGGCTACTTTTTATTTAGTTTTAGTTTTTGAGAAAGCATTGTTTTCCCATTTGATCTAGCATGAAGTTCAGGGATTTTACATTTATTTTTATTAAAGACCATCTGTTTACCCAGAAGTCACTAATGATTTTTAAACTTTTCTCATAGACACCATGTCACAGGAAGAGTGAGCTCCTGCCCATTTTACCATGGAGGACTCGGGAAAGACTTTTGGATCAGAGGAGGAAGAAACAAACTATTGGAGAGACCTGGCCATGACCTACAAGCAGAGGTTAGTCCTGCAGTGTCCTTCACTGCTTCCTACTGGGAGGATGGTGGCTGCCACTTCTGCAGGCCTCTCATATGATGCTCTGAAGCCAACAGTACTGACCCAGGAAGAAACTAGGATCACCTTGCTCTACAGAGACCCCTAAGCCTTAGGGAAGGCATACAGTCTGCCTAAGGCAACAGCTGTGAGAGGTAGAGTTGGGATTTGAACTACAAACACCTGAGGCACCTAACTATCCTAACATCTCATTGTATATTCTGGATGGGTCTTTATCTATTCCTGGATGTCCGGTCTTTTGTAGGGGAGAAGATTTACCTGTGTCTATCAAAGTAGACTGTTGCTGGAAAGATGGCTCGAGGTTAAGAGCACTTGTTGCTTTTGCAGAGGATCCAGGGTTAAGTCCTAACACCCACATGGTTGGTGCCTTACAACCATCCTTAACTCCAATTCCTGGGGATCTGATACCTTCTTCTGACCTCCTTGGGCACCAGGCATGCAGGCAAAACACTCATACACATAAAAATAAAATTGAAAAAAAGGTATGCTTACTTTAAAGTTTGAAACTGGTGTTTCAATGCACATATCTATCGTGTGTGTGTGTGTGTGTGTGTGTGTGTGTGTGTGTGTGTGTGTGTGTTTTGGGTTCAGCACTATGTAAGTTCAGGCTAGCCTTGAATTCTTGAGCCTCTGACCTCAGCTTCCTGAATGTTAAGATTACAGTTGAGTGCTTCAATGCTAGCTCTAACAAACTGTCTTCTTGTCCATAAAGTGGGAGTAACGGTGGCTGAATAAAGTCGTGATCCACACACATCACTGCGGCACAAATATCCAGCATCATTAATTCTGTGATAAATGTATTTGCAAACCTGCTACAGGGCAGAGAATACACAGGAGGAACTCCGAGAATTTCAGGAAGGAAGCCGGGAATACGAAGCTGAATTGGAGACTCAGCTGCAGCAGATTGAAACCAGGAACCGGGACCTCCTGTCAGAGAATAACCGCCTTCGAATGGAGTTAGAGACTATGAAGGTGAGGGGCACAGGAACATGTCTACAGGTAGGGGTGGCTTTGTGGCAGGCAGGTGTTGTATGGCTGAAGCAGCAGTCGTAGGATGAAGTGACCGCACCCAGGCCACTCCCTCCTGCAGTCCCTTCAGGTGTCTGTGTCATCGCTCTTTCTGCCGCAGTGGTGGAGATCTGTGGAAAGCAAGTCACACACATGGCCTACAGCCCTTCTTGGTGGTGGTCTGTACTGATTTCACAAGAGACATGGTAAGGAGAGCTCATAAGAGGCCATAGTGTCATTAGAATTGCAGATTCTTGAGATTGAGTCAGTAGCCCAGGCTTACTGTGACCAGCCCTGAACTTACTATGTAGCTGAGGGTGGACTTGAAGTCCTGATCCCCTTGCATTCACCTCCTAAGTGCTAGGATTAAAGGTAAGCACCATCATGCCTGGCTTTAGAATGGCTGGTTCTTGTATATTACAGGGTAAAATGTGGTATCTCTTAGTGACATGTGGCTATTGAAATGAAAGCTAGTGAGGAAAAAAATAATTCAACACTAGCCACAGTTCAAGTGCTCTATAGCCACAGTGACTCATGGGTTTCACTTCTGGACACAGATCACAGAATACCTTCTAGAACATTCTATTGGGCCATGCCAGTCATAAGCAGTTTTATTAACTGGTTCTACTTGGACCCTTTGCCTGTGGTTTTATTTTTTTATGGATGTAGTTACCAGTAATCAAACAAAATCCAAAAATATTAAATGGGAAATCCCAGACAAATTTATACATTATGATGTAATGTTAATAATCATTCTGTTTTATAATTGTTAACTTTTTTTTTTTTTTTTTTTTTTTGGAGACAGGGTTTCTCTGTGTAGCCCTGGCTGTCCTGGAAATTGCTCTGTAGACCAGAGATCCACCTGCCTCTGCTTCCCAAGTGCTGAGATTAAAGGGGTACATCACCACTACCTGGCTATTGTTAATTTCTTACTTTGTAAGCTAAGCTTTATCATAGGCAAACGTGGGAATAACAAAGCATATATAGGGTTTGGTAGTGTCTGAGGTTTTGGAGAATGTAGCAGAATGTCTTGGAATGTGTTCTCTCACATAAAGAGCAGGCACTGTGTTGCTTGAGAATGGACATTGTTGTGAGGGGCTGAGCTTTGCGCTGTAAGACAGTGAGTAGTACTTCTGGCTTTCATCTGCCAGAAACAAATAGCACTCCCAACTTCTGAGGTTGAAACAGCCAAAAATACTTGGGGGCTGTCGAGATGGTCCAGCTGGTAGAGGTGCCTGCCATCAAGCCTGATGCCCTGAGTTTAATTCCTAAGAGTCACATGGTAGGGGAAGAGAACTGGTGACTGCAAGTTGTTTTCTAGCCTCTGTATCCATGGGAGTGGGTTCTCTCCTTCCATCATGTGGGTCCCAGGGATCTAGCTTAGGTCATCAGGCTTAGCAGCAGTTGCTATTTCATCAGCTCAGTTTCAAAGTTTAAAAGCCGGGCAGTAGTGGCGCACACCTCCTAGCACTCGGGAGACAGAGCCAGGCAGATCTCTGTGAGTTTGAGGCCAGCCTGGTCTACAGAGTGAGATCCATGATAGGCACCAAAACTACACAGGGAAACCCTGTCTGGAAAACAAACAAACAACCAAGCAAAAAAATGTATTTAAGGGGCCTGGAGAGATGGCTCAGTGGTTAAGAAAACTGGCTGCTCTTCCAGAGGTCCTGAGTTCAATTTCCAACAACCACATGGTTCTCACAACCATCTGTACTGAGATCTGGTGCCCTCTTCTGTTGTGCAGGCAGAACACTGTATACATAATAAATTATATATTTAATATCAAAAGCTAAAAATTATGAAGCTTCCCAGAAAAAAGTCAGAATTTCTAACTTCCTTTGAGAGATGGAGACCTGGCTTCACAAGGCCTGCATTGTCCACACCAATGAATAGGTGAGCCCAGCCTGTCCTGGTCACTGTATCCTGATACCAAAGATTATCTCTTGCTCCTTGTCCTTTGTAGGGTCCAAATTTCTTGTTGACTCTGGAAGTATTTTCATTTGACCCTTGAAACAGGCAATGAAGAATCCTTCCAATTCTCACATTGAAGAGGCCTAAGGGCTGGAAGCTGTGAGGAGGAAGGTTTATGGCATGAACAATGGCTGGGGGAACCCTAAGAGGCCTTTCATAGGGCTGCATACATACCCTCAGTTACTAAGTAATTATATGCTTCAAGACTGACCCTTGAGCTTGCAGAAAACCTCTTCATTACAACCTCTGGCCAGAGGCATGAAGCTTAGCACAGAGGCTGAGGGAAGAAACACTGTACAAAGAGCCTGCTACCTGTAATTGCCTATCAGTCACCTGTGGCAGATGGGTCAGCTGTTTGTCAACTTTGACTTCAGCAGCCTGTGAGGCATCAAACAGCGTTTACTGAGGTCTCCATCAGCTGACAGCTTTTTACGGTCAGTCCCAGATGAAAGATCAATGAGATAGCAATTTTCATGTCCCACATTCAAATATCTGAATCTATGCAGGCAGAGGTTCTGGGTCTCCACATTTTCCTGGGATCGAGGTTAATAATCTAGGATCCAGTTTCTTTTTGCTTAAGTGCAGATACTTGCTCTCTGATGCTTACCAGGAAACCCTAACAGCCTTAGGATATTGAAGGCCCCTTCCTGTTGTCATCCTGCAAATCAATTAACAGCCACTTCGGTCATTCTTTTCTGGGGGCTCTTACCCTCCTTCTTAGGCATGGGCAGTATGACATCACCTCCTGGCACATCTGGCACATCTCATAATAGCTTTGTTTCTTGAATCTAGTCAGGAAGAGGAGCTAGCCTTTTATTTATTTAAACTTTCTTGACAGCCTGCTTGGAATGTTTAGTATTCTTGCTTTAACAGTACATGCTCTGATGGCCCTGATCTTGGCTGTTATTTGTTGCAGCTCAACCTTGGGCCAGGCAAGTAACTGAATCTTAGTTTCTGTATCTCTCACAGGGGATCAGATGAGTTCACACATTATAGCCCAAGGGCTGGCACACAGTAACAGTCATCTAAACTGTTCTTTGCTCTGGGAAAGCACTGGCCAGTCAACTTGAGCTTCTTTTCCTTACACTGCTGGGGAGTGTCTTGAATCAGAAAGTTAGGATGGTTGTCACACTAAGTATCTGATGTCTCCTTTTGTGAGATAAAAGCAGCTAATGTCATTCTTGCTATTTTGCTCAAGTACAGTGCACATGAGTGAAGCAGGACCATATTAAGTTGTAGCTGAGGCCTGGGCGAGTGCATGTGACTTTCTTTGGCTATGGACACCTTGAATGAAGGTTGTTGGGTACTGAAGGGACAAGGTGAGAGAGGTCAGGATGACAAGTGCTGAGAGGATTAGCAGGCACATGGTTAGGAAAGTTAGTGCATGCATACTTTGAATGACTGTCACTTACCCCAGCATCCTCTGTTGTCCTGGCTAGTTTTATGTTAACTTGATACAAGCTGGAGTTATCTGAAAGGAGGGAACCTGAAATGAGAAAATGTTGCTGTAAGATCTGACTGTAGGGGTTTGGGATTTAGCTAAGTGGTAGAGCGCTTAAGGCCCTGGGTTTGGTCCTCAGCTCTGAAAGAAAAAAAAAAAAAAAGAAGAAGAACTGACTGTAGCATTTTTTAAGTTAGTGATTGATGGAAGAAGGCCCAGCCTATTGTGGGTGGTGCCATCCCTGGGCTGGTTCTAGGTTCTATAAAAACACAGACTGTGCAAGCCATGGGGAGCAAGCCATTAAGCAGCACTCCTCCATGGCCTCTGCATCAGCTTCTGCCTTCAGGATCCTGCTCCATTTAATTCCTGTTCTGACCTCTTTTGATTTGGAAATATAAGCCAAATAAACTCTTTCCTCCCCAAATTGCTTTAGTCATTGTGTTTCATCACAGCAATAATAACCCTAACTAGGACAACTGCTTCTTACCTGAAATTTCCTGTCTGTGGAAAGAAGGTTCTGTTGACTGAGCTTAGGGGAGACTGGGAGAGGAAGCCTGGAGCTGCCTTGCAGGATGGGTGTGAAGGGATAACCCAGGGACCTGAAAATGAAGGGAGAGACATTCCTTAGGATGTTGAAGTCATGCTGAGGATGTGCCTCAGCTGGAGACTGAGAATCCTTACCTAGCACACATGAAGCCCTGGGTTTGATCTCCACCACTGCATAACTGGGTGTGGAAGCTCATGCCTATAGTCCTAGCACTTGGGAGGTGGAGGCAGGAAGATTAGTTCAAGATCATTCTTCCTTCTTGGGTACATAGCTGGTTTGAGGCCAGTGTAGCATACATGAGACACTCTCCCAAGAAAAGATGAGCTACTGTTGCTGGGGTGGGAAGAATGTAAATTTGGTGCCTGAAGCCATCAAATGTCTTCTATAGGTAGATGGCACTATCCATGTGTGGCGTCCCATATTTGATGTGGTAGTGGGGTGATGTTAGACAAAGGATGTGAACATGGATTGTCAAAGTCTTCACTGAGCTGGCTTCCATTCTGTCCTGCAGGAGAAGTTTAAAATGCAGCATTCAGAAGGCTACCGGCAGATCTCGGCCTTGGAGGATGACCTGGCTCAGACAAAAGCCATTAAAGATCAACTGCAGAAATACATCCGGGAACTGGAACAAGCCAATGATGACCTGGAGAGAGCCAAACGGTAGGTGGGGTGAGGAAAGGTTTATGAGACAGCAAATACAGAGCAAACTCAGAAATGGATCGTGAAGAACTTGGTGCTGAGCAAAACGAAACCCTAGTGGATCATGGGCAAGATGGAACATGTTTACTGTTTCTGGTGTTCTTCCCACCTTCCTGAAGATGTGAGTTTCTGTCTGGTTTCTTCTTCCTCCAGTTTGAAAGACTACCCTCAGAATTTCTTATAGGTAGGACTACTTATGACAGACTTTTGCTTATCTGAAAATGTCTTTAGTTTGCCTCCATTCACGATGTGTGTGTATATGTGTGAATAACCATGTGCACCTGTGAGCATTCTTGTGTGCCAGAGGACAACCTTGAGTATTCCAGGTTCTTTGCTGTTTTTGGTATTTTATTTAGGTGGTCCTGCCACCCAGCTCCCAAATAAATCACACACGGAGGCTTATTCTTAATTATAAATGCCCTGCCTTAGCTTGGCTTAGTTTCTAGCCAGCTTTCTTTATCTTAAATTATCCCCATCTACCTTTTGCCTCTGGGCTTTTCCTATTTTCTTCCGTAAATCTTACTCTGTGGCTTGGTGGTTGTGTAGCTGGGTGGCTGGACTCTGATGTCCTCCTTCTTCTCTGGTTCCTCCTCCATCTCTCTTTCCTCCCAGATTTCTCCTGCTATATATTCTTTCTGCCTCCCAGCCCCACCTATCCTTTCTTCTGCTTTGGTATTGGCCAGTTCTTTATTAGACCATCAGGTGTTTTACACAGGCACAGCAACACAGCTTCACAGAGTTAAACAAATGCAACATAAACAAAAGTAACACACCTTAAAATGATATTTTACTACTTTTCCCTCTTTCTGTCTAAATAAAAATGAAAAGGTTTTAACTTAAACATAGTAAGACTGTATACAATAACAGTTATCAGGTAAGGATTACATTCACAATATCCTCTCCATTTGTAGTTAGTATATTCGAGAAAACAATTCATTATCTATCCTATTTTTGTGAATCTAAAATTTTACACCTAATTTACTTTCTATTGTAGCTAAGGAAAACTGCAACTTTAACTATTTAGTCTTCAACTCTATCAAAGACCCAGAAGGATGTAATATTATCTAACAATAGAGACATTTGGCTTCCTGGACAGTCACCCAAAGTTCCTCTACAACATTGAGGCATCCATCTCCAGCCTACAGGCCTAGAGTATCTGGCAGACTCTTCTATAAAGCAGGAATTTTGAAAGACTGTCCTGCCTTGTTTTGGCAAAGTTCGTCAGTCGTGCCAGGCGGTGGTGGCACACGCCTTTAATCCCAGCACTCGGGAGGCAGAGGCAGGTGGATCTCTGAGTTTGAGGCTAGCCTGGGCTACAAAGTGAGTTCCAGGAAAGGCACAAAACTATACAGAGAAACCCTGTCTTGAAAAACTGGAAAAAAAAAATTGGTCAGTTGCTTTTCTCTGTGTCCTGCAGAATGTCTGGCAGCCTCTTCCTTGAAGCAGGAGCCCTGAAGGACCATCCCACCTGTTTTGGCAAAGTTTGGCAAGTCTTTTTCCTGTGTGTCCTGCATGTCCAGTCTGCACAGCACATTTTCAGCAGTCAAAAGCAGGAGCAATTTCTTTGCTCAGTGGTTAACCTTGCCACAGTGAAAGCAAACTCCATAAGGAGTTTCTTCAATGCCCATCATCTTCTCTGAAGTAAATTGGTGCTTCCAGGAACAGATGTGTGTCATGAAAAGCCCTAAGTTCACAAAACATTTTAAATTCCATATTCTATAGTCTTTGAAAGGTTATCTATCTAAAATATATCTCTATATTATCTGGAAAGCATACCTAACATATCTACAGTTTGATTGTTATAAATGACTAGCCACTAGCCTATGTTTCCTGATTATCCTATTTAGTTTATAAAAGCTTTTAAAAACTAGAACTTCACCCTACATTTCCAAATGAGCTTCATAGGTACAATACCTCAAACAAAAATAGAAACATACATACAATATGTTGTAAAACAAATAATATTAAATTTTTTTCAATATACAAAAATGCTTTAAACAAGAGTAGAAACATATGTACAGTGTAACAAAAATAACTTTAAATTTGTATTAATATATTCCTCTAAATGATAACAAAAATCCATAACCCACCAAATAACAAAAAACCACCCACACCCCCCAACTCTTGGGAATGTGGGTGTAGTTTTCTCTATACTTCTTCCTGCTATCTATGGATGAAGTATCTTTAGGGTTCCAGAGAGAAAATTTGAGATAATGACCACGTCCTGGGAAGACTAGCAGTAACCTTTGCTGATAGATGTCACCTGTCAAGTTCAGGAGATCTTGCTTGATCAAACCTGATCCATATTAACTCTGAAGGACTCCACAGCCTCTCATCTCCTATGGAAACAAAACTCCAAAGCATTTTTGATTTTCATTTGATAAATACATTTTTGACTTCTTTTTTAAAGTTAAGGCATTTCTAAAATATTTCTAGGTTCAATTTAGCAGTCCAGTTCACAATCCTATGTGTCCAAAAGATAGAAGAAGCTATCCTTTGCTTCTCAATAGTCAAAAAATTCAAAATCAACACATACAGGATCCAGACTACATGTGTATTTCCCATCTTACATAGCTTATTCTCTTTTATATTACTTTACTTCTCTCTTTGAAGACTCTTATTTTATAAACCATTTTTTTCTATGACTATACCCTTTTTCTTAAGCCTATGCACATTGTTAAGCACACTCGAACCTTTTAGAGATTTTTTCTATCTGGATCTCTTTTAATGCGTATCTCTAGTCTTTTTTGACTGCATTAGCAAACTTTTAAGCTGCTAACATACACCTGGATCCTCCATGAGTGGCTCTCAGTTTGCTCTGCCCACTTCTCGGAGCGGGGTGGGGAGTTGGGAGGGGAAGAAAGCCAAGCATGAAACTCAAGGCCTTTGGGAGGTTTGTCTGACCAGGAACTGCATTCAACCTTCCTAGAGCTCTATGCTTGCACTGTGGCATGCATTTTTACTTAGTTTTTTGTTCCTACTTAACGTATTAGGTGTTCAAGGGCTCGGTGACTGGCAGAAACTGTCTGGCCGAAACCTTAAAGGAGCTGTGTCCCCTTTTTTGTTGTTGTTCAGCTTTCTCAGGCTCTAGATGGATATACAAGAGCCCCTACTTGGTATACAAATTTGTTGTTGGGGTCTTTTCTCTTTTTTGGGGGGCCCACCACCCAGCTCCCAATAAATCACACATGGAGGCTTATTTTTATAATAAATAAGAATCTCATAAATGCCCAGCCTTAGGTTGGCTTAGTTTCTAGCCAGCTTTTGTTAACCTAAATTAGCCCATCTACCTTTTGCCTCTGGGCTTTTTCTATTCTCTTTCTTCCTTAAATCTTACTCTTACACTGTGGCTTGGTGGTTGTGTAGCTGGGTGGCTGGACTCTTATGTCCTCCTTCTTCTCTGGCTGCTAGATCCTCCTCTTCTCCCTGATTTCTCCCTCTATATATTCTTTTTGCCTGCTAGCCCCGCCTATCCTTTCTCCTGCCTTGCTATTGGTCAGTTCTTTATTAGACCATCAGGATTTTACACAGGCACAGTAACACAGCTTCACAGAGTTAAACAAATGCAACATAAACAAAAGTAACACACCTTAAAATAATGTTCTACAACTGTCCTTGTCTTCAATCTTAGACTCAGAGTCTTTCTTTTTGTTTTACCCCTGTGTATGTCAGCCTAACTGGTGTAAGCTTTCAGAGATGTTTCTGCCCACGATCTCTCTGTAGGAGAGCTGAGACTGCAGACTCTCTCACTAACAGGTCTGGTTTTTACATAGGTTCTGGAGATTAGAACTCAGGTCTTCACACTTGTGAGACACTCTCATCCAAGTGTTGACAAGTTTCTGCTGTGCCTGAAGATAACGGCTTCTCACACTTATTTATCTATCTATATATTTTTGCGACAGGGTTTCTCTGTGTAACAGTTCTGGCTGTCCTGGAACTCACTCTGTAGAACAGGCTGGGATTGAACTCACAGAGATCTATTTGCCTCTGCCTCCAACTGCTGGGATTAAAGGAGTATGCCACCACCACCTTGCTGCTTTTCACCTTTATTATGTTTACTTATTTCTCCTTATGGTTAGAATATGATGCCAGTCAAGTTCGGTTTTCTTCAGATGGATACACACTATTTATTTGACCTTTCATCATTTTCTCTAGGGTACTGAACTCAGCTCCACTGCATGTTAATTTTTTATTTATCCTGGTAACTATTTCTGGATTTATATTTGGTTCAGTCTATAGTCCTGGATAGTTCTTTGTCAACTTGACACAAGCCAAAGTCAGTTAAGAAAATGTCTCCATAAGGGCTGTAGGCAAGCCTGTAGGACATTTTCTTAATTAGTGATTAATGGGGGAGGTCCCAGCCCATGATGGGTGGTGCTATCCCTGACCTTCTGGTCGTAGGTCCTATAAGAAAACAGGCTGAGCAAGCTGTGGGGAACAAGCCAGTAAGCAGCTCCCTTCCATGGCCTCTACATCAGGTCCTGCCTCCAGGATCTTGTCCTGTTTGAGCTCCCATCCTGACTTTCTTCAGTGATGAACAGTCATGTGGAAATGTAAGCCAAATAAACACTTCCTTCTCAGGTTACTTTTGGTCATGCTGTTACATCACAGTAATAGTGACTCTTACTAAGACAGTGTGTGAAGCCACATTCTGAATCAAGCCACTGTCATTTCCACACATACATCTTTGATCAAAAACAAGTCATGTGATCACACTGAATCAGAGGGTGAAAGAGTGTATTCCATCCACAGTGAGGCTCCAGCAAGGGTGTGGTTGCAGGGACAGATGAAGAATTGGGACCAATAATGCAATTTCCATGCTGGAAGGTGGTGGCGTACGTCTTTAATCCCAGCACTTGGGAGGCAGAAGCAGGTGGATCTCTGTGGGTTTGAGGCCATCCTGGGCTATATGAGTTCCAGGACAGCCAGGGCTACACAGAGAAACTCTGTGTTGTATAATC